TCCTGGGTTCTTTACTCGGTTCTTGACACAGTCTGTCATCCTTCTTCGATCTGAAATCTTCTTCTACATACTTTGAACGTATAATAAAGGGTCCCACATGCTTTTTACTTGTATTCCATAGATAAATAATTAAGGAACAAAGTCGAATACAAAGATTTACAGTTCCTTTACACTTTTCTTTTGGTAGGACAAAAAATTGCTGACGCGGACATAAAATATCACGTGATATTTCTATCCTAGGATAAATTTTCACGGGGGACAATTTTTTTCGTGACAGGCCAGTGGAAGTGGTCATTGGTTTTCTTAGCTGACAATTACTGTGCCTGTCAGCATAGATATGCTGTCAGCCTGTCTAGCTATGTGAACAGATTGATAGATCTAGAGATTGTAATCATGGAGGACCTGATACCAAAGATAATAGATTCAGTAGGCCCTAAATGGGCCCAGTTGTACTCTTTTTTAGGTCTGGATTATAGAGGAAGATTTCAAATATCAACTAATAATCAAAGCATATCCCCAGAAAGGGTGAAACACAGGCAGTGTGCATTAGAAACAATTAGAAAATGGCAGAAAGAAGTGGAAGGGAAAGATGAAATGGAGTGTATGCAGATATTACTGGGTCACTTACAAAGAGTGAAAGGAATGGGCGGGTTAGCAATGGAACTTGCTAATGAATATGGTGAGACATAACGACATTTGATCCTTTTAATATGCACACCCCTTATCCCTCATACTCAATAGCGGAACATACCGTCTTTATTTGATCTTAGGTGTAGAATTAAAAGTTAAACCTTCATTAGTTAGCTCTGAGTCTCATTTATCGTCAAGTGAAGAAAGCCAAAGGGAAGAATCATTTTTATACAAAAGTATCTACATAATGATTGTACCACTACATTTAATAAGAGGGTTACTTTATAGGTTCATTATGGAGTCAACCCATTGACACAAGAAACAGAGGACACAAGTTTGCTGTCTTAGATATATGCCAGCGAATGACCAAGAATCACTTTAAACAATTTGTTTCTTACTTGGGCCTGGACAGTACAAGAATAGAGGCCATTATTAGAGAAGAGCCTTTGCTAGAGGAGCAATATTACACAGCTTTAAAGGAGATAATAGAATCAAAAGGGGCAGCTGTAACTTTGAATGACTTAAAGGAAGGTCTCCGTTTATGCTTAAGACATGATCTAGTGGCCCTTGTTATGAGACGCATTGAGGCTACAAGGGATTAGTTTCCATTAATGAACTTATTTACACAATTAATAGTTTTCAATTTTATTATAGCACATTACATTTGCAGCATTTTGATCTAGTTTCGGTTTTTGGATCTTCTATAAACAGAGAAAATATATAAATGCACAGCAGTCATGAAATTATGATTGATACCTTCGAAATCGAAATCTTCTCTTGGTACCTGGTCCTCTTCACTCTCACTTTCTACAAACAAAAATAATAATATTATCATTAAAAAGAAATGATTATTGCAGTATACCCTCTAGCTCTTCTGATTCACTTTCTTCAACATAAGAGTTGCCTTGATTCTCAAATATGTCTCCTTCAATATCTGTATAAATTAAAATATAGATAAATCATCAAATTTGTTGTAAAAACGTCTTACCAATGTGCATGGATTGCATTCTAACAAATCCAAGGTTTTGAAACATGTGCAGTATTATATCTCTGTTAGGATTGTTGAAGGGTATTTCCAGATCTGCTGTATTCTTGCGTCTGTTTGTACAAGTCGTTGGTATAAGGCCGTTCATTATTAGGTATTGGACAACTTCGGGATGTCCCATGTGACAAGCTTTGTGTAATGCTGTGTCCCCCCACTATAAATAAACAACAAAAATTAATTATAAATTCCCATGTTCCCTAATCTATTTTTGCTTAGCTACACCACAGACTCTAATAACA